GACCTGGATTTTCTTTCTGTAATGCTGCTTTGTGACAACACCTGTTGTAAAAAGCACTATATAAATAAACTTTGCTTGCTTGCTAGCTCACAACATTTTAAGCTCTTAATGGACTAACTCTGGCATATATTGCTGATAGCGTTCTGACCTGTCCAGACCACCTCGCTCAGCTGAGGCAGACTTACTACAAAGTCCTACAGGATCTCTTACAGCTTAGTTGGTGGAAGTCATTTTCTTAAGTAGCACTTAAACTACAGAATAGCGTTTCAAAAAGTATTAGCAAGCTTGACTTTTGCTGCTAGTTTATAACTTATGGTAGTCCGGTGTGAGTTTAGCTGGTCACCTAACATGGTCATGCTGGTTAAACAGCATATCAGCATCCAAAACAAAACATATGCTGGTATAGCTGGTGACAAGCCATGCTGGCCTATGCTGATTTTTCTAGCAAGGCAATGAAAGAACTAATGTGCTTTTGGTAACACTTGAGCCCTGTTTCATATCCATGACATAATCATGTCATAAACATGTCATGGCAGATGTCATATTCTGTCATAAAATGTCAGGTTACAAATCGAGCATAAGTGACAGATTATTTCATATACCATTACCATGTTACCATTACCGTTGTCATGACATGATAATTAGATGTCTTGATGGCTAACTAAAGTACATAAGCAAACATTAGCATATGACATAATAGCTCATAAGCAAGTCATGTCATTAAGCATTATGACATCTGTTTACTGATAATGGCAACATGACACTGTTATATTACTGAATAAAATCTGTCATGACAGCACATGCCATCTGCAATGACATGTTTATGGCTTGGTTATGTCAGTGTTATGTAGCAGGGTTGAAGTAAAGCTTTTCTGTATTCTATACTATGTGTAACATATGTAATCCTTATTTCCCTTTTAAAATTTTATCTATATTTCCTTTTAAATTTGTATTTATTCCTTTTAAAATTTTGGCTATACAGTCATATGCAAAATTTTTGGCACCCCTGGTCAAATTACATTTTATTGATTTTCCAAGTGAAAATAAGTACACACATCCTCTACAGAGAACACACTTCTGCATATTTTAATGCATAATTATTGTTTACTTGCTGGGTGTAACATATTGGGAAAAAAAATATAGAATGTGGCTTTTGCAAAAGTTATGGCACTGTATTGCATTTAATTTTTTATTTGTTGAACTTAGCACAAAATGTTTCATTTAAATTTGATCTTTGTAGAGGATGTGTTAACTCATTTTCACACGGAAAGTCAACATAACTTAATTTGACCAGGGGCACTCAAACTTTTGCACAACAATATAAATAAAGATTCTAATAAAATTATTATTATTACTAAAATTACTTCCTTACCAAACTATTGCCTGACGTAGCTGTGTTTTTGTTTGCATGTTCTCATGTTAATAACTAAAGTTTTAATTTTATAGTATTCAATTCCCAGCAGGTACAGCTAATTTGCCAATAGTTTGTCCTTGCTATGAAGTTCCTTCCATGTTAAAGGTACGTTAGAGAAAAGAGTCGTGTTCCACAAGCGGGCATTACTTTATATGCTATATGTGATGTTCTGTACTTTTGTGACCACAGTGTCTGAGCTTCAGGCTGGTGTTCTGGAGTAATGCACAGTCCCCTGAGAACATGGAAGGATATTGTTTACCATACACATTATTCATGCAGGTGATGAAGCACAAGAGCCAACTGGATGTTGAGTGGCAGATTAAAATCAGTGAATCATCTCTGGTATATATACATGCATACATATGCATAAGTATGTATGCACGCACATATATATATATATATATATATATATATATATATATATATATATATATATATATGGTACTGGCTTGCAAAGGGTCATGAGAGGTGTTGGTGCCAGTTGGAGAGACTTTTAATGTTGTAAATAATTTGTTGTTGTTAGCTTGAAGATGCACATGTTTATGTGAGTTATTCTGTGCTGGGCTATGGGGTAGCTGGTCCTTATATTTCTACATCTTTTGAGCACAACAGCCGCCCTTTACATTCTGTGAAAATTTCATAATAAACCAGTAAAAATGCTCAAAAATTGCTTGGAATAAAATAAAAAACTCTTTACATTAACTTACATTAAAAGTAATGAATGTTTTGCCTTCTGATGGTGTGATACAATGATACTATGCAATACAATTCTTATCAATAATACAAAGTAGATTATCAATGCACCCAGCAAAGAAAACTTTACATTTATATTTTAATTCCCATAAAGCTCCACCAAAATGAAATATGTAAGTCCTCCTAAACAAAGCCATTCAGCGTGGTTTGGTGGGAAATGCTCTGTTTTAGAGAAACTTGCTGAGTCAGAATGGTTAACATGATAGGCACCAGACATTCACCTCTAAAAGCTCCCTCACACAAAGTTATTACATGAAATGGTTAGATATGTGCTGTCTGATGTCTGTTATATAATAGTTTTGTGACAAAGTTTTGACTCAAAATGTATTTTAATCCATTTAATTTAATCCATTCCTATGGAAGGGCACATGCAGGGTGTTGTAAGGCAAAATAGTGCCCCAAAAAAACCTTAGTTTTTTCAGATTTATGACTATTTTACCATCATCAATGTTACACATAAAAACTCAAAAGACACATGTAGGTTCACTGGCGGTTTTGGATAATAAATAAAATGACTATATCTGTGTTGTAGATATCACGACCCCTGGTTTCTATGACCACCACTGACTCTGCAAGTTTCTCTACAATGAACCATTTCACATCAAACCCCTCCGAATGACTTTGTTTACATCTCAAGGACTCAATTATTCAGAGATTTTGAAAAATTGGTGGAATTCCCCTTTGAGTAAGATATTACTGGTTAAATAAAGGTGATAATAATAAGTAAATATGTATGTTTTGTGACGTCACAAAAAAAGTTAATTCCAAAACAGGCCAGTTTTACAGCTTAGTCTCCATAACTAAGTGAACAAGTTAACATTAGTGAACGATATGTTTTGAAACTTTAACAATATTCACACTTTTTTAGTTGATTTTACTTGAAAAAACCGTGCACACTTATTGCCATGATCAAATTAAGTAAAGTTACTTAACAGGTTCAAACTCAAATAACTTAACATATGAGTTTTAGTTACTTTCTTATTTTTAGTGAGCTACACTTCTGCAGGACATAAGGTTAACTCAACCCATTATAAATGTTGTCTGTTACGTCAACTTGAACGAAACGCTCTTCCTTATATAATGTATCTCCATTAAAAATCCTCCATTTCTGAGAACTTCAGTAGCTTAATGCATGTTAGCTATTTTGTTGGCATTCATGGTGGTTAACCTGGACACAAAACACCATCATGGTGAGAAGAGGGTGAGACTCATGGGAACACAAACATGTAAAATACATTCACAGCCTGTGACACAAATATAACATTTTGTAAAAAGAATTATATTTATAAAGTAGAAAAATAAGAGCCAATTAACAGAAACCAGCAAAACCACTAAGAATGCTGGGAAGCTTTTTGGGCAAAAGACTCTTCAGTCTGTAGGACGTATCCAACTGATCTCAACTAGATTCATCTAAGTAACTAAGGATTATATAAGAAATAGTATGTTAGATTCGTATTAGTAATTTAATAAATAAGTCAAAAAATGAAGTGCAATTATTAAATCATTACGTTTTACAGTGTGTACACTACACCACACCAGACACTAAAAATGTGAGGAAATTTGAGTTTTCCATGTTTCTCTTTAAGCTTTGCTGAATGAAAATACTCATATTTAAACATTTATAATGCCTATCGATCATAATGTATTGTCACCCCATCGATCACAATGTATCGTCGTATCGCTGCACCCTTTGCCTCCCATGTTTGTCCTCTAGTTTCATGTCCATCAGTGGTTCTGCAATCTGGTTTCTCACCCACCGACTGTAAACCGATAGCGCAGATCTGCCGTCTGGCGGGCTTTTCTCTGTTTCTGAATAAATCTGTATTCGGTTTCAAGACGCAGTTACTGGAGACGGTATTTAATTTCTTTTCCATTCATTATTCATATCTACGGAGGTAACGCGTGTAAGCTTATTGCACCCTCTCCAGAACTTTAATTAAGCTGTTGTCGGCAAAGGAGCGGAATAAAAGACCATTAGGAGTCCGAAACCACTCATCACGGGGCGTATTATTGTCAGAGCACAAGGATATTAGAAAACAATATGGGGTTTAGTTTGTAAGAAGTTTTGCAGAATCGTTCACTAAGTCGGCTCAAGTCGGCTTCGCATACTAATTTTTCCGTTCCACCTTAAATAGCGCCTCAGCTCCACTCTGGTACCTCAGGCCTCCAGCGCCAGCGTGTAAGTGCTGCGCCATTTAAGGCGGAACGGAAAACTTCGAATAAGAACCTGGCAAATGTGAGGTAATGAGCCGGTGTTAGGACCCAGAGGACTCCGCCTCTTCGTTCGGGCGAATGGCACCTGTAGCATTCAAAGGGAAGCGGGGAGGCCAGTGTGGCCGCTCTCTCTTATCCTCACTGCTGCCCCTTCGCTCGCCGCCCCCCGTAAGTCCACAGTCACAGCCTCTGTTTGTCCCCACCGAGCGAACCACTCGGTGAGACACGAAGAATCACGAGCTCTTCGGTCCTTTGGAGTCGACAGTGTCCGGAGAGACGCCGCCGCTACAGGTAGTAGAAGCAGCACTGATATCTGCACTTACTCTCCGAGCTCGTCCTCTTAGCCTACAGCCGCCACTTTATCCCTGCCTTTCTTTCCTTTTTACCCACCAGCCTTCACTTAAAACGCATTTTTATCGCCCGAACTGAAGGTTTGTCGTCGAAACACTTTTTTTCGGTAGCTGAGGGTTATCTTGACTGGAATATTATTTAAGTACCACGTCTTCACTTCTCTCAGCAGCAACTTGTGTCCATTGTGGAAAATGGTCTGTTTTCTTTTTTTTATGTACTCCACCTGAAGTTGTGATGGTGTAAAATAATCCAACTAATCTACCCCGAAAGATCGGAAAAGTGCTTCCTTGTCACATTTATTGAAACGAGTTTCCTGTTCGACTCTCTCAGCTACAGAAGTGCTGCTGTTGAGGAAGTACAGGGTGCAAACCGTCGTAAGATAAGAGCGATTACTTCAGACATTTCGACAGAAAAGGTGACAAATCAAATTTAATATTTCAGTGCTGTGGCCACAGAGGACATACAGTGGTTGTTTTGCTGTTTTGTGTGGTGTGTTGTGTAAAAATGAGCCACTTTTTAATAGGGGTGCTCGATTGTAGCTAAAATCATGATCACGATTATTTAACACGATTAGTCACTGACTTTGGAAACATACATTTACTGAACTTACAAAAACTTGTCTTTTTAAGAGGGGGTTCCATTGAACTTGAATGAAGGAAAATAAACAGTTAAAAATGTAAAATAAATTATATATATATATATATATATATATATAAGAAATAAATATCATATTTCTCCATACTGCTAATCCACACTCTTAAAAATGCTTCTTCAAGGGTTCTTTAGTAAAGGGAATGCTTAAATGGGGCATTTCATCATTTCATGCTTAAATAGTTATTGAAATTGAAATTGTTCTGTAGTTTAATGGAGAATGTATTGTTTATGGTTCCATATACATCTATTTGAAATCTATTTGTAAGTGGTTCTATATGCCACCAAAAAGGGCTCTTCTATTGTTAAAGCTAAATTCAGATATTGCCATCAGCAATTTCCATATAGGTACATTTTTACTTGTTGGGAATGGCAAGATTGGAATGTGCCTCCAACGCCTTACATTGTTTTGTTTTGCGTCAAAGCCCTCGGTGCAGGTGAACCGGTTTTGTAGCCTGAGAGTCTGACGGTCAGAACTTTATTCTCGGTTCTATGATGCAGTTTGGGATGGTTCTGCTGATGTCACAAGGGTGATTTTGATGCGTAATTTGTAATGACAGAAATGCTATTTAATTAAGGTTGAATCACCATCACTGGAGCAGCTTAACCCCAGCAGAACAACCAGTCGTTTTACATCTTGGAAGAAGTGTGAAGCTTGGGTCTTAGCTCTAGTCTCATGTTGGCTGTCAAGTAACTTTGACAGCTCAGAAAAGAGCTTGCTGCTGCTGGCATGTGTTAATGCAAAGTGTGTGGTGTTACTCATTATGCATAAAGGGAGTGCGAGTCTTGGCTGACTTCTCACTTTAGCCGCCTGTTTGCCACGTAGATCCTGCAGGGTGGTAGCCCATCGGGTGCGGCATGCTTGTTAGGTGAGTTTTAGTGCCTGTGCTACACGTGGAGCTCCCTCGTCGCACTCATTTGATCGTGATACTGGCTGGCCTGTCTTTTTTTCACATTACGTGGACAAGTGCAGCTGGTATGTCCTCAGCAAATCGATTCACAAATTTATAGCAGTGACTTTTGCCCAGGTTATTACTGATTGGTGATGTGTTCTGTTTTTCCAGCTGTTGGAACTTGAAGCTCTGCTAAGATGCGTCTGAGACGTCGTATTTCCCCTCTGAAGCTAACAATCCTCGGTGGCACGCTGTTTATGGTGGTTCTGGTGGTTCTGCAGAAGGATGTGGGTAGTGGAACTCAGGACCCCTGGCTGAAGGACCTGTCCAACAGGAAGGAGCGAGTGATGGAGATGGTCCGTGGGGCTGTGCACAACTTCGCCTACCAGATCGGAGCTCCGCAACCCCCTGTGCCGGAGGAGCAGCAGCCTACCATCAATCAGCAGTGCCCCCCGGGCTTCTACACACAGGCAGATCTTAAACCCTGGATAGAGAGACCCCCAGAGGACCCTAATAGTCCAGGAGCTGCCGGGAGAGGCTTCCAGAAAGACAATCTTACCCCAGACGAAGCGAAAGAGAAGGAGGAGGGCATGACCCGGCACTGTTTCAACCAGTTTGCCAGCGACCGGATCTCCCTGCACCGCAGTCTCGGAGATGACACTCGGCCACCTGAGTAAGAATGTTTGACGGTTGATCAAATAGCAGCTCCGTTCAGTCTGGTATTGCCTTAACCCAGCCTTCAGGACTAACCACACCATCCACATTTTTTTCCCTATTCCAGCTCCCAAGACACCTGAACCGATTAAGAAGAGCTAATACCTGGTGCAGGTGTACTGGGGGCTAGATTAGAGCAAAAATGTGAAACATCTCGTAGGCCCCAAGGATGGAGTGGAGAAATACTGCCTCAGTCTGCGGTCATTATAGTTATAACCTGTACAGATGCAAATGAAAGTCCTGAAGCACTGTGTAATTATTTGACTTTCCTGTGCAAACTGATTATATTCATAATATAATAGAGGTAATATTCCGTTCAGGCTGATTTTATATGTGATCTAAAAGCTAGTTATTCATAGAAAATTGATCAGTTTTAGTAGCTGATGATTTCTTTACAGCCTAATTGGCCAATAGCTGATTGTTTTAGCCTTTATTTTGCTTTGTTTTTAACCCTAAGCTCACACTGTTTGGTCTAAATAAACACAGGAAGTACACTAGCACAATTCCAGTATTTGTAATTAGCCAGTGTCACAATATAAATAACATTGATTGTGCTTTAATGTGCCAACGTGGCATTTTAAATGAGAAATCAGTTGCCTGTTTAAATAACATAGTTGTGCAAAGTATTTAGGTATAGGTGTAGCAGCAGACTTCAAATACTGTGTGACTTACTGGAATTTTACATCCTAAAATTTCAATACACATCAGCCAAAAATTAAATAAATAAATAAATTGGATAATGCCATGTTTTGCAGCAAAAATCTGTATATTTAGATCATGCATCCCTAATGAAAGCAGCTTGCACTGGAAAATCAAGTACTTACACAGGTATCAGTGTCAAAATAAAACCACCTATCTCTTAAGTGGAAACTTTTCAGGAGAGGTAAAAAAAATAAAAATAAATCTTTTAACGTATGTTCATTTAAAAAAGATTTAATCCCAAGTGAATTTGAGCTATGTCAACCACACACAAAAAAATGTTGGTACAGTGATAAATGATTTCACTATGGGTATCATCACTACTTTTACATATCATTGCTGATGGGGCAAAACCTTGTATCGCCATTTATTTGTCCAGTGGTATAGAAGTACTGATCATATTGTGACATAATTTAGCAACGAAATGACAACAGTTACAATCAGGATAGGCAGTATAACTTATTGTAACTGTTAATATTATGCTATATAATATTAAATAAACTCATTGGCTATCTCCTTCATCTAATCATGCCATTGTTGTAAGCCATTTTTACCTCTTGCTGTATCTGTAAAAGATAATGTTTGCAACAGCGTCCAGACCTCAGAAAAACAGAATGTTGTGATGCATATCATGATATGAAAATGCCATCGCATATAGTGATATTATCCACACTTACGAATAACTTTTGTCTTGTAGTTTGGGGCTGTTTGGTGTATTTGCACATGAACTCTGAGGTGAACTGCATTGTTGGTTTTAAAGGCTGGAGCTGAAGCTGTATGAGTGCTAGACAAACATTTACTGATAGCGATATTTGCTGTTCCCAAATAATTGATTGAAGGACCTGCCAGTTGAGCCTATGCCACCAATGGTATGGTCACCAGGAACAGGAGGAGGAACTGCTCTAGCTTTAGACACGTTTCACTCCGCTGTGCTCTGTAACTGATGTTTACTGTGTATTTGATCCTGAGTTGAGCATTGTGGGATGATTTCTTTGATCTTAAAGATTAAGCCATATCTTTTGCAAATTGTGCTGTTGAAGTTGTGGTTGGAGCCAGTCTTGTAACGCAGGAATGAATGAAAGGCATTTGTGCCAGCTGGCATGGTCTCATGCCACCTAGACCTGTTGGCCTTCATTCGTTGTTAGCCTTAGCAGCACTCTTTAATTTTACTATCCCTCCGATGCTGATTCATAGGGGTGGGCATTGTGACGATATTTTGTCGTTATCATTACAAATTATGTTACAATACGCTTTGAGCATATCATGGATATCATCAGTAAACAAAGTGAACTACATCTTTCATTACAAAGTGAGCCTGTTCAGACCTGTTTAGTTGGATTTAGTGCAGTGCCATTTGTAAAATATTGAGTAAAAATAAATGTACTTGTGCATTATTATTATTATTATTATTATTATTATTATTATTATTATTGTAGTATTTTTTATAGGTGTGAACACAGGTTCTAATTTTCTGTTTCAACTTATTAAATCTTGGGTCTCAAGTATTCTAATACATATCATGTATCGTGAAAATGTCTTGAAATATTGTGATATAATATTTTTGCCACGTCACCCACCCCTATTGTTTTATCACTGATTAATTGTTTTCTAGTTGAAAGACTGAATAGTTTGCCCAAAAACAATGTACAGTCTTCCTCTCATCCCTAAGGTAGTCGATCATCTACACAATGTTTGGTGTCTGAAGTTTGCTGTAGTTTTCAGATGTTTAGTTTAGTTTAGTTCAGGAGCAAAGACTGTAGGCTAGTTGCGTGCCTGAACTTTTACATACACTACTGTGCAAAAGTAAGAGACCACCCTTTATTTGTTTCCTGTCAAAGCAGTCTTTAAGTACAAGCTATTAATTTTTCAGCTTCAAGAAAACCAGAAAAATACTTAACAGAACATTGTAAAAGCCTCAACAAACAAATATAATATCAAACATTTCTGCCTTGTACAGTTGTTAGAAGCCCCGTTTTTTGTGTATCCTTTAAGAATTTTTTGGACAAAAAAAAACATTTTTGTACTAATTTTCTTTGTCCTCAAACTTCATTTATTTAACCTCAATTTTATTTTAAGGTTAAATAAATGAAGGGTGGACTTGTAAACAGTATTGTGTGTACCTCAGACTGCTTTACATTAAGTAAGCTCAAATAGATTTAGAACAGTGTTTCTGATATTGTGACATGCTCTTATCTATAAAAATGGATAAAGTTCAGAGGGGTAGTTACTGCCCTTTTTAGAAACGTGACATGCTTTTGCTCATTTAGCTTTGCACAGTGGTAATGTAAGCTAACGTAAGATCTGAGGGATATAAGGTTACTTTTTGGCTACATTAGCACTGTAGCTCCAAACTTACACCTCAGTTTAACCCCCACATCCCTGTGTTTGTGTGTACGTCAGGTGTGTAGAGCGCAAGTTTCGGCGGTGTCCTCCTCTCCCCACGACCAGCGTGATTATAGTGTTCCACAACGAGGCCTGGTCCACTCTGCTGCGCACCGTCTACAGTGTCCTGCACACGTCGCCGGCAATCTTGCTAAAGGAAATCATAATGGTAGATGACGCAAGTACAGCAGGTGGGTGCAGCTTTATCAAAGACTCAGATAAGACTTTAACTCTGTCTGAACTGTAGAGGTGGATCTTCAGCCTCACTTTATTGCCCGACTGCAAACAAAGCAACTGTTGCATTGCTTGACTCCTGGAACACTTATATTTAATATTGTTGCATGACTGTTGATTTTCAGTTTTAGCGACATTGATGGATAACAGAAATGTAATGTACGTTAATGTACGTTATTTGCTGGGTGCTTCGTATCCTTTTGAAAAATACATAAAAGCTAAATAAATAGTAAAGTTTCTTTCTGGAAAGCCGCTTCTGTCTGACTATCTGTGTACAATACTGTATAGGGGATCCTTTAGTGTAATTTCAAGAGAGGAAAACGTTGCAAAACAGCCCAACAAGCTATGTCTGGTTTATAAGGCAGACTTTTAACATAGTAGCAATACTCAAGAAGTATGGGGTCTTTAACTTTATTATTGCAAACTTAAAATTCATGTCATATCACAATACCATGATATTTATAAAACGTGATATTGAGTTATATCAGTATTGTCCAGCATTACTGTTATTTGGTACAGTGCATCTTCTGTTTCATAATAACACAAACAGTGCATGAAGACAGGCCTGTCACAATGAATTCATCACCTAATCACAATTATTTGAGATATTACACTTCACCTTAATGGACAATTACTGTTTATTTACTGAATTTAACATATTCAAAAAATAATAAAACACACAATGTGGCCTGTGTAAAAGTTATGGCACATTTATTTTTATTATTATTTTTTTTTTTTCTAAATTAATTCACCTGGCAGGCCTACTACAAGCATTTTTCTGTAAAGAGAGCATTAATTGTTGCTTTATTGAAATTGTGACTTCCTGTATTAAGTGGGAGCGAACTGTAGAAGGAGTGTTCTGAGAAAAGGGAAGCTTGTAAGTGAACATAGAGGGGGGTGTATAGCAAAAGTGCTGTCACACCACAGGAAGGTTTTTTTTTTTTTCCCCCCTTAGAGCTGAGGCATGAATGCATGCAAGAGGATTGTCTTATCACATTGAGAAGTCATTATCTTTTTTTACCTATGGGGGATTGCTTAAGTCACTTATTCAACAGTAAGAATCTCCTTGGTGAAGTCTGATCAACACCAGCCCCTGTAGCGCTCAGTGTTTTCTTAAATTAACACAAATAACACTTGTGAACAGCTCATTAGTCTGCAAGATGAATATGTCAGAAAAATAGATGATGCGTTTGAGGTTTTGGTCCCACCACAAAATGCATTTCCTATCAAGTGCTTAGAGAAATTGGTTCCCCTGCAGACAGTTGTGGAGAGTTCAGCTAGACAAGCTGGTTTCAAATCCTTAGTCTAAAATTGGTTTGTCTGAAATTTTCTGTAATTTACATAACTGTACGTAGCCATCTTTCACTCTAAGTGCCATGCTAAAACACTCTACTACGCTACAGTTAAACAAACAAATGACTAAATAAATAAGACTTACTGTGTGTAAAATTGGCCAATTTAAAATGTAAAATTCAAATAAAATACTATAAAACTAGTTAGAACTGTTCAATATATAAAAAAAGAAACACAGTAGTGGCATTGTGCCCCGAAGCATTTGAGTTTCTTACCCCAGGAACAGATCATTTTCATTTCAGCTTATCCGACATTGATACATGAAATATTGATACAGTAAATAAAAGAAATAAAGAAAATTAAAAAATAGAACCAATTGTTTCAGAAAAGTTGTTGATTAGAAATACTGTTGTATTGATTTTTTTTTTTAATCATTATTATTTTTTTGCCTAGTACTGTAAATAAAATCTAAAAAATCCTTTTTCAATTATAATTAGATCCGCTTTATAAATCGACACCATTTCAGGGCTGTGGATCTGACAGCAAAGTTTCTGTATGTGTATTTCACGGTCATGTGTAAAGAAGCTCTTGGGTGGTTTGTTTAGGCTATTTCTGTGTTGTTGGTGATTATTTTTGCTCTGTGGCCCTGTGCTTGTGCTGCAGGTCATTTGCACTCCCAGCTGGACGAGTATGTGAAGATGCTGAAGATTGTTAAAGTTGTGCGTCAGCCCGAGAGGAAGGGGTTGATCACAGCGAGGCTGCTGGGTGCCGGTCACGCCCAGGGCGAGGTCCTCACCTTCCTGGATGCCCATTGTATGTAGCCCATCTCAATTCACACTGCTGGTCACTCGTCACTAATTATACCAAGATATAGAATAGACTGCTGAGTGTTTAGTTCTGAACTGTGTACATGTTCAGGTATGTGTGTATATATAATAGGGCCCAACCAATATGACAGTTCAGTGGTTGATGCTGATTCTGTTTTTTACAGACTAAAGATTCCAATAACCAATAATATCAGTCAACATACAAAAGGTTTGAACACTGTGGTAAAATTACATGTTTGGTTGATTTTCTAAGTGGAAAAAAAGTTTCTCTGCAGGGAGCAAAATTACATATGACACATTTTCATTTTTTCCCCAATTAATTTATTTCCATGTTAAATTCTGCAAGTAAACAGTAACTGTGCATTAAAATGTGCAAACGTTTGTACAATTACTGTTGACTTATTTTCATTTACACACCATTTCAGGGCAGTGGATCTGACAGCAAAGTTTCTGTATGTGTATTTCACGGTCATTCCACATGTAATTTGACTGGGGCGGCCAAACTTTTGTATATGACTTTAATTTCACATTTAGACTTAAACTTTGAATTGTGAAATATGACCCAGTTTTCTAAAATACTCAAACATTCTAATATAATATATTTAAATGAACATATTTAAATTTGTAATGTTGTTTATTACTTAAATAATGCTATTAGATATGAATACTTTAGTTTTTAATATAAATTATAAACATGATAGTGTTTTGCAATTCACCAGTTCAGCTTGTACTGCTGTGGCCCCTTAGTGGCACAACCTTCTAATATTTCGCCCTGTTGTCAGGAGATTATGGGTTTGAATCCTGGCAATGCTGTGACCTCAGTTATTCACTGTGGTAAAATCACTGTTAAATAACTGTTAAACTGTGGTCTTCACTGTGGGCGATGTTATCAGCAAACCAATATTTTGGTCTGGCTCTAATACGTAACAGTTCAAGAGTTTGGAATCCCTTCTCATATTATTTTTATTTAGTAAATACTTAGTGTAGATTGAGATTATAAACCTAATACTAGTAGTGAATGTACAAATGTTGAATTCAATTCCACATTATTTGTGAAATTAGAAGTCACTAGATTATAAATAATATACTGTAATTACGTGTTTATAATAATTTTTTGTTATCAGGGAATCATCTTTAGCTCTGTTCATCACATGGACACATCTAACATTCTTCCACCAAATTATGTGAAGGCTGTGTAGTTGACATGTACTAAAGTCAGTTTATAAATTTATCTGCAGTCAAATTGGTTTTATATTACTGAAAATTGGTGCTGAATATTTGAATGGTAGTTTATGTATGTGTACTATAGCAGCTTGAATCCAGTAATGTTCCTCACAAGATCAGTTGTTGCCATGCCGGATACGTTTTCACTTTTCTTTGTGTCACATAATTGTCTGATTCCACTAGTAAATAATACAGCTTCTTTGTATTCTTAGTGCCTTTCAGAAAAACATTATCACTTTCATAGCTTTTCATGTTTTTCAAATTTCACGTTGTATCAGCAGTACAAAAGGTCAAAGCACAGGAGACCTTTTTTAGAAAACCTGCTCTTCTGGCACACCTTTGCACAAGCCAGAATGATGACTTTTGACCCCTTTTTTCTTTCCGCCCGTCTCCCACAGCTGACAATACTAAACTTTTAGTGGGATAAAAGCATAGAATAGGGCAGCGACATTGATACAACCTTTCAGAATAAGAAAGGTCCTCTGGGAGCTCTTGATAGAAAGTTGGCTGCCATTGTTATCCAAAGGATCAGCTTTACAGTAAACAAAAACAAGCTGGTTTGCTTCTTGCGGCTTTACATTGATGGGAATAATTAATTCCTTGATCAGTACCCCTGCTCTTTCCCATGTATTAACTTTAAGGTTGATAAGGTTGCGATTGCAACCTGGAACAGTTGTTCACACTATTCTTTTAGCAGCTTGACGTACTGAACTTGCTCAACTGTTAAACTCCCATCATCAGTGCAAACACTCCAGGACACATTAAAAACCTGCAGAGTTCAGTGACTTGAAATTTACTGGCATGTAAACTGACATTCCTTCCCCCCCCCCTTTAAATCCAAGGTGAGTGCTTCCACGGCTGGCTCGAGCCGCTTCTCGCCCGGATAGTGGAAGAGCCCACGGCTGTGGTGAGCCCTGATATCACCACCATTGACTTAAACAACTTCCAGTTTAACAAGCCTGTGTCCACTGCACGCGCCCACAACCGAGGCAACTTCGACTGGAGCCTTACGTTTGGCTGGGAGGCCATTCCGGCCTATGCGCAGGCAAAGCGTAAAGACGAGACCTACCCTGTGAAGTGAGTCGCACATAAACTTTATAGAGCCATAGGAGGGAGATAAGACTGCCCTGCCTAATTGTTCACAGAGCCAGTCCTGTTTTGTGTACAAAGTTACCGTTCAGTTCTAGTGAACCTTTTCTCAGGACACAGATTTTCTCAGTGCAGTTTCAGCTGATCATGTACTTGCAGTCATTGTACACTAGCAGTCAGGAAAGAAAAGAATTGCTTATGTACTTTATTTTTTTTTTTTGAAGAATTTTATATTTGCAAATAAGAGTTAAATGAATATCATTATACTCAGTATAAAATTGAAGCATTTACTTCATTTAAAGGATGAAAACAAATAACACTCCCTCCATTTGGTGATGCTTATAGCTAAAAGTTATGTTGGGGATGCCATAGAAAGGGTATGCTATATGCTCTAATGCCAATGCATCCAATTCTATCTGCTAAGAACCAGCGTGGCCATGGGTTTTTACTCCAATCGAGCAGGAGCACACAAAATACTACTCATTAACTGTCTGAAGACTGAGAGTTGATTTTAAGAAAGTAGGATTAGCTTGGAACAAAAGCCTGCAGCCACACCTGCCCTTGGCTGGATGACCCTGAATCATCACTGAGTCACTAGAATACTCCTAGCTGTCCATTTCCTATGTTGTTATAAATTTTATTTGCTTGTACCAGTGATTATTATGAAAAATCAGTGTTGAAGCAATTCCTTCTGACTGCCAGTATACACTGATAAACAGTCAGAATTTGGAACTGTACTGTTTTGTTACACCCTGTGAACTCCTGCAGGTGTAACTAAAGTAAAGGCACCCAACAGTAGCTTAACAGTGCATTCGGTAGTTTCAGAGTGGCACCACAGCTGTGCTATTGGCCTACGATCTGTTATACAATGTGCATGCTATTGTGTCTGCTAAGGTGCACAGCAGAGTAAAGAATACTAATTTATGGTGAACAGTTTGTACAGCTGTTGAACACAACAGTTATAGAACTACACATTGGTGCAATAATGACCTTTGCAATACTTATCTCGCAGAAGGCTGCAATATGCAGTCATGATACTGGGATGTGTGACTCATTGTTCAGCTGGCT